TTATGGGCTAGGAGGCGATAGTTGGAGATATATGTGTGGAGGTCTCCTTTATTTCAAGGGCTCGTACTTTAGCCATGGCCGTTCCGCAGGGTCTATAGCTCCAAAGGCTTCCTTGAATGCGACTTTGAAGTCGTCCCAGGTGCCGTACCCGATGATATTTCCGGCGGTATTCTTTCGTTTGGAGTTCTGAGCGGTCTCCATGAAGTCTTCTTTCCAAGCGGCTGCATTGCCCTTGGTCATGAACGATGCGAAGATTACTCTCTTCTTATCGCTGTCATAGATCTTCTTGTTGATATCTAAATACGCATTACAGTTCAGCATGAACCTGTGCGATTCGTCGCGATCTCCATCGAATTCGGGGGGAGAAAATCTTAATTTCTACTTCTTTGGTAGTGGTCGCCATTGTATTTAACGGTGGTATTGGCGGTAGCGCGCCTAGGTTCAAAGCTCCGATCAAAGGAGTTAGCGAAGTCGTGGTGTCTGCTGACGTCGCAGATGGTGGCGTCTATGGTAAGACTTTAATCTTTTGTTACGACTGGGGTATGTCGAGCTGTCTTAGTCCGAGTGGACTGAGATTCGGCGAGACAGACGTGGTTCTTCTCTCGAATGAGAGGTCAGAGGTTTCTGGCTAAGGCAAGTATTGGCGACTTCCTTAGAATAATGGTTCTTAGATAGCAAGGTTGGGGACCTTGCTAAAGGACTAGTTCCAGGTAGAACCCAGTAGATTAAAGTGAAGAACTACATGTGGTACGCTATGTATCTATATAGCGAGAGTTCAAGCGGAGCTTGTAAATGTGTATCAAGATAGAAGGCGGACAGCCCGCTTGGTAGACAATAAGAGATAAGAGATAGGAGATAGTAACCATGGTGCAGACAGCCCGCTTTGATAAGAGATGATCGGCTAAACATAATGATGGTTACTAGCATGGAAAGTCAGCTTGGCGACGATATGAGTAAGAGTCTGGAAAGTCATTGGTCGTTCATCAACAGCTGTGTTTAAGTACCATTGTCCGGTAACAAAGGAGAAGCGAAGAGAATTAGTGTGCCGTAACAGGTTGGGAACGGAAACTACAGCTGCTCATAAGATCTGACCTCTGTCCTATGGGAGACTTTGTAGGGCAAATACAAGGCACAGCCATTATGTCTTGGATTTGGCTGACACATGGAGTCTCCAACAGCAATGCCAAAAGTTTGCAAGACTGTAGGTCTGCTTTCATTTTAACATGCTCAGGGCTAATTTCAGACTGCAGCACTTCATGTTGAGTGGTGTAAAGCTAGGGCACATCAAAACTAATGGTCCAAGGAGATTCAACTACTGTTGGAAGAGATGCAGTGAGTTCTAGCCTTTTTTGACTAGCAGGTGCAATGGTGGGAGGACTGTACAAGTTTGTAAATGCTGGCCAGGTCAGAGGAGATGGAGGGCCTGATTGCATATGCGAAGTGGCAGGCATTCATTTGACACAGTCTGTCAGCATCATTCAAAGAAAAGTGGAAGGATGTTTCTGTGTTGGTAGCCACTGGGATGACTCACTGACAATGAAGATGAACATCCCTGCCTTGATATTCCTCCTTGAGAGGATCTAGTAGATGATGATCTTTGTTGATAAATTAATACAATTTGCTTCTTACTTCCTTTGTTGGTACCTAAGTTATGGCCTCCTGAAAGCTTTGTCATTGTCATATTAAATTTTGAGACCTTCGTGTGAGGCAGTGACTAGATCTACTTTGCAATTCACGGGACCTCGCCCAGTGCAGCCTCCAATGAAGAGGTGCTCACCGGGCACAGCCACAGATGGATAATTACACAGGAGGGATGTATCGCATGCATGGTCACCTCAGGCATTAGTTCTTGGTATCAATAAAGGTCTCTTAGATGTAGGCATATGCACGGATTTTGAAAACCTGTGCGGGTACCCCTTGGGTATGGGTGGGGGTCCGCATTTTGGGTACCTGGACCCTCACCCACACCTGCGCTCGGGTTTGACCAGTACATTATCTAATCGAGAACTATAGTAATGCTTACACTTGTACTGCCTATTGCTAATGCTTACACCTGCCTAGTACTATAGTGTGCTATGCCCCTCCATCTTCTTCAACACAACACCTACCTTCAAGTAGACAAAGTGAGTGTATTGGTCCTCCTTCAAGTTTGAGCCATGCTGATCCAAGTCATTGCCCACCATTTGCAGTGAGTGAGTGCATTGATCCTCATTGGAGCTTGAGCCATGCTGATCCATGTCGTCGCTCACTGTTCACAGGAAGTGAGTCTGTCGATCCTCATCAGAGCTTGAGCCATGCTAATTCAAGTCGCTGCCCACTATTTGCAGGAGGTGAGTGCATTGATCCTCATTGAAGCTCGAGCCATGCTGATCCATGTCATCGCCCACTGTTCACAGGAAGTGAGTGCATCAATCCTTGTTGAAGCTCGAGCCATGCTGATCCATGTTGTCGTCCACCGTTCACAGGAAGTGAGTCTGTCGATCCTTGTTGAAGCTCGAGCCATGCTGATCCATGTCATTGCCCACTGTTCACAGGGAGTGAGTCTGTCGATCCTCATTGGACCTTGAGCCATGCTGATCCAAGTCGTCGCCCACCATTTGCAGTTTGCGAGTCTGTCGATCCTCATCAGAGCTTGAGCCACGCTGATTCAAGTTGCTGCCTGCTGTTCACAGGAGGTGAGTGTTTCATTTTTATAATTTCTAACTTCATATTTATATGTATTACCCACAGATATAGGTAAGGGTACAAACTTGCCATACCCCCCAAAAACCCATACCCTTTATGCAGGTGCAGGTGCGGGTGAGGTCTCTGATACCCCAGGGTTTACCCGTTGTGACACTCGGATCCTCCTTGGGCTGCAAATGGGTCATGTCCATATATGTGTCAAGGAGTATAGAGCACTATGAGTTTCCTTATCATTGTCCATCATTTTTCCAGCAAGTAACCTCTGTCCAAACCCAAACCCACTTTTCCCATGCTTTGCACATCCGCTTATCCGCACTTTCCCGCGCATCAGCCACATCAGACGCGCGTTCCCACGCTTCGGATACCTCGGAAACGCATTAGGAAGGTCCCTTGTCTATCCATAGTCCATCCAAACCCCATTGGTATGTGGATTTCCTTACCTCGAGGCTTGTAAAATGTGTTGCAGCCTTATTACATGTCCTTACATATTTCCTATATTTCCTATCCCTTCCTTCTCCAAGTGAGAGTCTAGATAGTATAAATTGGCTACTTCTTAGTATTACTTACACACTTCCCTCATACTGGATACCTCTCCCTATAGGTTTACCTTCGAAGTAGTCCCTTGTAGTGCGCGCTTTTTAGCCACTATTAGGTCCCTATACCTAGTCTTTCCTTACCTCGCAATATACCTTTGCCCTCGCTCTCTCTGAACCTCGTTCCTTAACCTCCCTATACCCTGTCCGCACTTTCCCGCACTTTCCGCACCTTCGGCCGTGCATTCCCGTGCTTCGGATAGCCTCGGATACATTCCTACACCTCACACATACCTTGTCCACTATTTTCCCACGCTTAATGCGCCCTCGGGTCGCACATATCCTCCGTTGTACTAGTAGCAATTCCCTTTAGGGTCGAATGTGTCTGTATAGACATAGCAGGTAGGCATTAGCTTGACCCAACCTTTTCTTGCCACCCAGCAAGATTGTTGTTTCCACACCATGTGGATCCCTACTTAGATGGTATTATTATGTAGGCATTATATAGTCTCACAGACCCACCCTCGTGGATGTTCTATTTATAGCACACACATAATATGCCTTGCAACCTCTTGCGGCCCTCCCCAGCACCTCCCCATTTATCTTGTATATACCTCTACAATGTTTGCCAATATCCTGTCCCATCTCGTTGAGCCCCCAGATAGGCTCCATGCATATGGTGCACCCATCAGATCTGGCAGACCTCTACTATGCTCTGCAGCTGCTTGTCATTTTTATTTCCCAAGTTCTTTTTGTTGCCTCTTGTTTTACACCACTATGTCCATCACCATGCTGCCTGCCCGCCACACATGTGGCACTCAACCGACATCTATGGGGCTAGGACACCACTTTGTAAGCCCAAAGAAAGCTCGAGACCCTAAAAAACACAGACTCTTGTTCACATTCCTGGTGTCAACTCCAAGCATCAGTGCCTCCTCGACCAAATGGCTGTGTTGATGCAGCCCCAAGTTTTGACTACTGAAACCCCCACCTCTACTGAATCTCAAGCCCCAATGGATATTGACCATACTGTTGGTCACATTGACAATACCCTAAGTTCCAACTACAATGATAACAATTACATCACCGATGAGGTAGCCCAGCCTGATCAAGTAGCATCTTGCCCTACAAATGTGCCTAAGGTAGAGCTTGGGTGTTGCCGTCTCTTGCCCAACAAGATGGCAAACAATCTATATAATGCTTGGAAAGTGCTTATCCCAACCCTGGTAGATCCTCATCTCAAATATTCTACAAGGACACATGGGCATGCTCTTCCAGAAGTCCATCTGGTCATATCCACTTGCACAAGCCATAGTAATTGTACACATCAATTTTCCATAGTTGGTCTCTTTTTTGACCATAAGTAGTTTGTTCCTCATCTGCTGCCTTAATTGACAGTTCCAGGTTTCATTTCTATTGATGTATTGGCTTGCTGATGTTCAACACTTTCACAAGTCCTCCTTAACATGGCCTCTTTCCTACTGCTCCCTCCCAACCACGCATGGCCGTTTCTACAGACCTACTCACATTCTATCATGCTTTGTTCAAGCATTCATGCAATGCTATCCATGCGCTTGCTCACATCCTAAAGACCCATTATGCCTGCAGAGGCTTTCTCATGACCAATGCAGATGTGAGTTTTGACTTTTCAGGCTTTGACAATCACTCATTAGTAAAACACAGGGCCAACTTATTCAAGAACCATTTCGTTGTGGACTTGGCCAAGCTGTCTAGTGGTTCGACATCCTCCAGATTGAGGTTGAACGGCAGACTGAAGCGACACTTCAAATTTGTTGTGAACAAGTGTATGAGGCCCATAAACTTAATCTCAAAAGAACCCTGGCGTAACCACCCCCATGTGATCTAGTACAACATTGATCCAAGGCCGGTGCACCTCCATTCTCATGCAGCATTGCCCAGCCTGCTTTGGAGGTGTCCTTTTGGTAGACCTCTTAGTGAAGGTGGCGACATACACGTTGCAACAGATGGCAATTTCCATCATTGACATCGACAATCTGTGGGTGACTGTCCATGCTTTTACAACCCCATATATTTTCTTTCCAAGGCTCAAGTGGACAACATTGGGCGACACATCCTCTCACAGCGTAAATGTGCACCGAAGATTTGCACTTCTTTAGTACCAGATGAGGCAATTGACCAATGTGAGCACTCATATGAGGCCGTGGATGGTAAGAAGCAGAAGGCTGTGATGGATTCCTTCAATGATATGGGGTGGCATGGCTCTGATATGCCGTCACGATATCCTGCTCTTCTTTGCTAACATTGATTTACCTGGCGAGCAACAGAAATACGCCATAGCACTCATCGAGCATCTGTTTACTCTATTGCTGCAGGAAGCCACTGTCATTGCCCTGTATGATGTTGGTTGTGTTCTCTCACGGTCATTATCTCAAGTAAGTGCTTCTTTAATAGATACATTTTAACCTTATATCTATCTCTATAGTATGATATTCTCCCCCAATTCAGTAACTTCGCATCTTTGATTTGCAACCATGGCTATGCCTGCATATGGCCACAAGTGGGGTGTGTCCAGCTCAAGTATAACCCTCGCATGTGCAATGGTCTTTGGCCTCTCAGACAGGGAGGGAACTGAAAAGACTATGGTCAAGGTTCGTCAAATTAATTGGCATTCAAAGGTCATCATCGGTGAGTTGGTGCTAGTACTCTGATGATTATTTGTTGACTGTAGTTCATGGATAGCACCAGAAGTGTCTGTGGTTGATAGACCGGCAAGCAGGGCCATTGGTCTTGAGATGCAAACAGATCTTGGCAATTTGATTAAACAGTGGCTCAAGCATGGAGTTAATGGTCAGTGGTGCAGCATGAAGATTTTAGATAATTGCGGCATCAAAGCTCAAGACCTTCAGGAAAAGTGGGTGGATCAGAAGAAGTCCCAACTGTCCATTTGTGTCTCATAAGTCCACAGGTACCACTTCCATACTAAGATCAACATATCCCCATTGACAGATGCTCCTGCCATGACTGAAGAAGGAGCTTGACATTGTCCTTACTTTGCAGGCTAATTTAGATGCATTGGACAGGGCATTGCAACTCACATGGACCATTGTAGAGAAGGGCTCGGCTACTGAAGACAACCTTAGATGCTCTGGAGAGCCTCAAGCACAGCCATGATCACTTGATGAGCAAGGTTGAAACATCATATTCCTCTCTCAATGTTCATGACAGATTTCCAGAACTTCAGGGCATTGATTTGGATTTTGTTCGAACCCTTCTTATGGTGTGTGATCTCAAAATAAATATCTGGAAGAGAGTGATAGGAAGCTTTTTTGAATGGGACAAACTTGACTGTGCAGTTGGCAGTGCAAATCAGGCACTTGGTAATGTATAATCCTTCTGTTTTGTGCCTCAGAATATTCACTCATTCTACAAGGTATGAAGCTACATCAGCAGACACGTAAGGCTATTGCTAAGTGCCAGCTGGCCTTGATGACAGTGATTTGCAAGTTTAACTCCTATTGTGAGCATCTGGAGAGCATCTTTGACCCGTTGTAGCACTCAAGCTTGCATTGAGCACATATTCATTTATTTCCTGATACACGTCTAATGCCCATTACTTCTGATGTAACCCGATGTAGAGACTCATGCCTCTCATTGTGCAATATGGCAGTTTTCACTGGGGAGTACATGGCACGAACTTGTAGCATCACTCTGTGTGCTACCCGCAGCTATCTCTATATGAGGCGCAGCTTTCCCGCGCAACGCGCGCCATGCGCGCGTACCTTTCCCGCGCTTCACGATGTATATGCGCGCGCACTTTCCGCGCTTGAGCGCCCTATAGCGCCAGCCATCCGGAAGCATCCATCCACTGTCCACCAAGTTCCCTAGTGCTATATTTCCATTTCTCACATTTGCTATCGTTCCATCTTTATTTTTATCATGGACCCTTACTTACATATATCTTTACATACCTTACTCGGTAGCGCTTCGGCTCCGCATGACAGCGCTTAGGCGCCATACTTAAGCGCCAGCAGTACATACTTACTTACTCACTTACTTACTCTCCCACCAGAACGACAGAGGACTTACTGGTTACTACCCACTATTCCTAGCAGAACATAGTAGAAATCTATTTGTTTACACCTCGCATCTCTCTTCTCTTGTCTTACATCATATCATCACTTAAGCAAACTCACTCTTACTCTCTCTCGTATCTGTATACACGCGCACGCTTTCCCACGCTTCGCGCCATACACGCGCGCATTCCCGCCCTTGCGCGCACCTGCGCTTTCTCGCGCTTCGCATTGGCCAACCAGTAGCGCTTTCAGCGCATACCTCTAGATCCTTGCGCACTCGCTTCCCCTTTAGGGTTCGAACGCACTTGTCGTCTCAAGTATAGCAGACTAGGCAACGCGCGACCTTACAACATTTATAGATACAGTCAGGAGCATTGTTCGTGCCTCGCTGTATCGTTGAACCTTCACCGACGCTAACCCGCACACCTGATGCAAACCCGACACTTGACTAGTGGACCCGACGTTTCGGCCGCATCAGACCTGATATTTTCCTGTGCACTTGTCCTATCCATGTCCCATCCCATCTTGCTAGCCCCACTAGGTGCGTAGTTGATTATTTCACACATTACTCACATCATAGCCAGCGCTATTACATGTTTTCCCATCATCCGCAGCGCCTTGTGTTCATTTACATGTACTTCAGACCCGAAATCGTCGGCCGCTACTTTTGCCTATAGGGTTCCGGATTTCTATGTACTCATATATATATGGACTGACTACGAGTATTATCATTATCCAAGTAGTAGGGAGCCGTTTCCCGATACTTAGTGGTCAAAACCTGATAATTCGTAGTTCTTAGTTGGATTCTGCAATATCATCCTTTCTTTATCCGAAACATCTGACAGTAACCCACCATTCGCTATCCCCAACATTTGCTACATTCCTGACGCTAACCCGATGAACCTGCTAAACCGAAACCCGAAAACATTGGACCCGACGTTTTTGACATCGGACTCGTAATTATACCTTTGGACTTTGTTTCCCGTGCTTTGGACTATCTTCCTTTTGTTATAACTGATTATTCTAATACCATACAGCAAACCCCTCAGGTCGAATGCACTTGTCTTGCAAGTATAGCAGACTAGGCTGTGCACAACCACAACACATTTTTTATATTGCTGGCTACTTACTTCGTGTAGTGTCCAGCAATTGTTGTATCTCTACACCGTCCTGGGGTGTCCTGCTTCCTACTCCTCTCCCT